ACCGTATCTACGAAGACGACACGTACCTGCTTGACCAAGTCTCTCGGTCAGTTTCTTCATACCGCTATGCCACGTCATCGATTGAACACCTCGTGGTTTCGCCCAACTTGGTGCAGTGACGGCGTATAATGCTCGCCGAGGAAGGCGGTTAACTGGTGTACGGAGTACATGACCTAACCAACGTTAGCGATTCAACTTCAACAGACACTGAAGTGAGGCACCGGAGAGTTTCTTGCATAAAAACAGCTGGCGGACCTCAGCATTGCTCACCCTGTGTTCCCACCAGATGCGTACAATACTGCGTGAGACCCGGTGATCAAAGACGGCCAACCGTTTGATGTCTTCCGTACGAACTGGGCAAGTCTCAGATGCATACAGTAGCACCGGACTTATCGCAGTTGTTCCCAGAAGTATAGCTTTGTCACACACTGAAACATAGCATCCACGAACGCAATATGAATCTACATTTAAGTGGGTCTTGCCACCAGGTGATCTTCCATCTTTTGTTACCCCAACGCAGGAACTCAACCACATCACGTTTACCGCGGAAGCTGTCCTGCAAAAGCTTACGTCTCTGCTCAACCACAGCTCCCCTGGTGTCGATATTACTCGCCCAGAAGCACTGGGAGCAGCGTCACGACAACTGGCAGAACCGTTGGCTCAGTTCTTTCAGCGGTATCACTTCATCCTGTACTGTCCAAAGTCATGGAGTCCATCGTTGCCGATGCATTGGTGTGCTATCCGGAAAACTGCAACATCATTGCTCTCGAGCAACATGGCTTTCCTCGACAGCGATCGTGAACAACAAATTTACTGATAGCCCGGAGTAGCTGGACCGAGTCAGTTGACGCAGGAGAGAACGTCCATGTGGTCTACTATGATTTCTCGAAGGCATTCGACCGCCTGGATCAACGGATTCTTCTCTCCAAGCTGCAGTATTATGGCATCGGTGACCCCTTTTCACCTGGATTGCCAACTTTCTCCTACAACGGCAGCTGGTGGTTAGAGTTCGAAACTCGTTATCAGACCCCATACATGTCGAATGTGGTATGCTTCAGGGCTCTGTTCTAGGGCCACGATTGTTTTTGGTATTTATCAATGACCTGGCACGGACGATGGGTTCGTTTTCTAATCTTTGCTGACGACATCAAGATATAGCGCACGATTCAGTCGGATGCCGATCTGCATATGCCGCGGCATGACTTGGACATGGTACAGCAGTGGCCAAATGAAAAGCTGCGGAGGTTCGACGTAAGCAAATGCAAGGTACTCTCCGTACAACACCAGAACACCTACTGCTACATGCTCGGAACGCAAGTACTGCAGCGATCTTCCGCCGAATACGACCCAGGCGTGCTGGTTCAGGATGACCTGAGTTGTTCCCAGTAATCCGAAAAGGCATCAAAAACTGGTAATCAACAAGTCGGGTTGCTCAGACGGGCATTCAGACAATTCGACATCTCCATTTTCCGACATGCTCAGTGCGACCTGATAATGGCATACCTGATTCTAAACAACCCAAATCATGTGTGCGGAGAGAAGGACTACTGTGTTGAAAACGATAATTCCATCCCTTTTACAGTAAAATTAGCAAATGCCATGTTGAAGTACCTGCCTGACCAAGTCTCTCGGTCATCTGGGTAGTAGCCCACAAAGGTAGACATGACGGAGCAAAATATGGATCACCGAGGTTGCATAGACTAGGCGCATTGACACGGATCGGTAATCTGCACGGTACCCAAACGGAGGCCTCTGCTACAAGCAAGAAGTTCGGTGTGCAATAGCATCATGACTGATAACTAATTTGTCTATAAACGACGTCGCGGAGCCCCCAGATAATCTCCTACTTATGGATCCGGTGTGGATTGGGGAAGATTTGCACCAACGGCTCCAATAGGTTGGCATTAATCTACGCATCGGATACCCTCAATTTATCACGGCGTTTGAACTGGCGCAGACTGCTGAAGAAGCAGGCCATGCTCATAGTTTAAGTTCGCATGCAATACAATCTTGATACATATATTTACAGAAGCAAGGTTAGACGGACATAGATATCATGGAAGATGTTTAAAGTGTCCACCTGCATTGTGACTACAGTACAGAAATCGCTTGATGCAGTTAGCAAGTACTTTCTGCAACGTCACGTTGGTGATGGCGTGGGATTCATTCACGATATTCTGCTGCAATTGCTCGAGGGAAATCGGCTTGTTTCTGTAAACCCCTCGTCTAAAATATCCTCAGAGAAAAAAATCCAGCGGGTTTAAATCGGGTGACGATGGAGATCTGCACGACCGATCCAACGTCGGTCGAATTCCTCGCAGAGATATTCTCGCACCGATTGAGGATAATGTGTTGGTGCACCATCACGCTGCAACCATATGGTGCTGCGAACTCCATCAGCCTCCAACTTTGGCCGTACGCAAGTCTGGAGCAATTCCTTGTACGATGATGCTGGCAAAAGTAAGGGTTGAGTAATATAAAACCACTTACTGGTTACATTCCTGGAAAAAAGGGTCCAGCGATTTTCTGACCGTTAATTCCAGCCCAGATCATCAGCTTGGCGCTATGCTGAATACGTGACGCTGTGTATCTGCGTGGATGCGAACTAGCCCAGAAATGTTGTTTGTCCGTTCCATGCAAATGGAATACGGACTCATCCGTAAACATTACGGAGTGAATGCACATGTGATCCAAAAACCAGCGGCAAAATGTATTCCATTTATCCGGATCGTCTGGATTCAATACCTGAACATGGAGTGTACGGAACCGACGAAGATTGCGTTCTTCCAATGAAAGGTAAACGCGTGAAGTTGATTTGTGTACCTACAGGTCCCAGTGCGTTGAGTTCCGGTCCTTTAGCTGGGTAGATTCACTTATGCTGCATAAAATCTGCTTGTTCCACCATGCATCTCTGCGTCCCATTGTTAGGACAAACTGCACACACCTCACTGGTGGGTGAATGCGTACCTTGCTGTGACGCTGGTACGTGTTTGATCCAATGCACCTCAAACCGATAACAATCGTTCTCAGGAGTTAAGGTTGTGGGTGTGATCATGAGAATCTCTGAGCGGTATGCCACTCACCCACCAAACTAGACAAAATGTTTCATGCAAATGACAACATTCTGCACTAATTGCTCGATGAGTAGGGTTGCGAACTCATACTCGGATCCAAGCTGCGAGCGGGTTAAACGTTGTGACCGCCGTTACAACCATGAGAAGTTTACACACGATACAAGACTGTCAGGTTTTAATAGAAAAACACGAAAACAACACAGTAACCTGTCAAACCTATTTCAGTGTAGAAATCTTAACATTTAACATAAAGTGAGGTCGACTGCGCACTCTCAGATTGCTCACTATCACAAAACAAATACATTGGGGTTAGCTGTATTCACCTGTTAATACATTTTTGGTGCGATTAATAGTCTGCATGATAATGAAACCCTGATAAAACTAGTAACTTCTGCATGCTTCACTTTGTAATTAACTGAGAGACATGGTCTTCGTGGATCGGGACCTCGTGCTAGTCCAAACCAGTGGTTAGAGACTCTATCGGACGTGGTGCATTGTCGGAGTAAGTGCTGCCCCTGAATTCGTTCTCTTGCGTGGAACTGTTCCTACTTCAATGCGATTAGCTTCATGCACTTCGTTCTTGCTTCCATTCTCCTAATACCATATTTAAGTCTTATCGCATTTACTTATCATTCTTCATTTGTACCACTCTGGCGACGCGATTCCTGGCAACTGCATCCACAGCACTTTGGTGCCCAGGTCATGATTTATCAACCGCACTAAACGGAGATGAAACCACCGGATAATCTTTAAGTATCGTGGGTTATTTAGGAAAGAGAAATTCCATATAGAACTCGGCTCACTTAACAGGAAAGCAAAATACTACCAAGTCGTTATTATTCGCAAACTTATTTCTCACGTGTACGTCAGCCTACCTACTTTAATGGGAACATAGCTGCGATGAAATAGCAGCAGTTGTGCACCACGTATACGTTCGCCAACGCGATGTCCTTTTTGACCACACTAGATCCTGTACGTAACGGTAACTTCAGTGCTACGGCTAAACGTCGGTCAGTACAGAGCCCACAGCCATCCATTGTTCCGCGAAACATTCTGTCCTCAAACACTGAGCAGAATGTATCGATCGTTCAAGTACACCTAGTCTGCGCCTCATCGCGTGAAGCGCTGTGTAAGTCGCGGTACGCAGACGCGCACTTGGTGCGTATTGCATCGTGTGAGATCCGATTGGATCTCCGGACTGCCGTTAGAATTCCTCGGGGTTTTCCCAGGGCGCGCAATGTGCAGCAATTTACGATTATAACAATCGGTAGACACATCTCTCCCACACTGTAGCATAGTCACACACGCCATGACATCCATCGTCTCCTGAGGTTTTGAAGAGCCATACGGGCTAGATGGCGATATAATTGTCAAAATAAGAGGACCGATCGCTCAGTTTCCGTGGCTGATCGGTGAGAGTTAGAACTGGTGGCGTGCTGGTCCAGTCATGCAACAGGACTTTACACTTAAAGGCGCGAAACATGCCGGAGACTGTAGCCCTACGTTTCAGCTTCTCAGAAGCGTCCGCACGGCTGCTGGGCCAGACACAAAATGAGCTATATCGATCACTCATTCCAGGTTTGTCGTTAATCAAACAGCAAAACTTCAACTCCAGTAGAAGCTTGCAGGACAGTCATCAGTGACCACTTCGATCACCGATGAGAAAAGTCGACACACTCACCTGTAGTAAAGGAGCTCAGGAGACAACTTTCCGTGAACCCTTATCTGGCCGCGGATAGAAGCAATCAAATGACCTTAAGGGTGCCATTGGTATTACTCTGTAGGCGATCCCACCGGATGCGGATGATGGTTATCAAGCACTGGTGGACAAAAACGACCAATCTCTTAGGCGCGCAGCCGTTAGGTCACTAATCCGTACAGCAGCACATAGGCTGTCCGGTGACCGAGAAGTTGCTGAGGCGTACGGAGAAAGGAACGGATTGTACTGGAGAAGAGGGGCTTAAATAAACACAACGCAACATGCAGAAAATGAGAGGCATGGGTGTCGCAACGAAGAAATGCGAGGTATGGAGAGAACATAATTGGTTTCGCCTATAAACACGCGAATATCCTGAATGTGAAATCAGTATCACAAGGGGAAAACGTGGAAAGATCCTGTACAGGGGAGTTGGTGACAACACGTTCAGAAAGAGATCCAGAGGTAAGAACACAGCCGGGATGTTGAAACAAGTCATGGATGGATACGGTCGAAATCATTCACACGTCGGTCATGGAACACAGTCAAAAAATCATTGGATGCTCGATTGAGAGAGGGCAAAAAGCTGGGCAAGCCTCGAACATGCAGATTGATCGACTGGAAGATATGCTTATTCGGATCGAAGAACTCCAACAGATCGGGGGGTGGATCATCCTATGGATGGTAAAAAAGAGTAAGATGGAATCGATAATGTGGGGGCATGAAATTGCGTTTCCTTGTATAAAGATATCATGGCGTTGATATATCCCTTGAAATAGATGGGACTTTCATGGGAACCATAACTTTGCATGAATAGCTATGTTGAAGCAGAGATAGCATCTGACTGCCAATGATGCGAAAAGGAGTAGTCTCTTTGTGCTAAAAAATGTAGCAGAGACGTACGTCTGCTAGTGAGACAGAATACTGCTGTGTCACGAGGTACCTGAACAGTTAGCATAAATGAGTGCTGGAGGACACGCGATCATTGGGCGACCGCTAATGGACTGATGCTACATCCACGGGGTACGCAATCAGAATATACTAAACACAGTCGCCATCGCAAGACTCGAAAAAGACAGAAAGACGAAAAAACAAGTATGTTGTCTAAGGGGACGGCTACATCTAGGAATAAGATGTTCTGTTATCATGACAGATTACGTGGCAGGGGGTGCAATGAAATCCCGGGGGCGAGAAGACAACCGCAAGAATGAGTGCCTCATGTTGGTTGTAAAACCGCGGCGGATGGAGGCACAGAAGGAACATGCCTGGTACCAAGTCCAGCGTAAAGGAAGAGATCGATCTGATCGTAGATGCGATCTAACGCGCGGCGATTCACGCGGCGTAGTTGCCACTGTCGGTGAAATCTTCATGATGAATAGAAACACTGTTTGTCTGGTGTGGATTGCTCATGTGACTTATTTCGGGGAGAGGAGATTAGTCTCTAGTCGGAAATTGTATGAAACAGTCGACACGCAGTTACGCGGCCGAAGTAAGCAGAGGCTGTGATGTTGAGCGAGCTTCATCCGATGACTGTGATATCAAACTTATCGAAAACTGCAGTACCCATAACGCCCTAAAGAGAATTTATCGGATATGTAGAGATATCAAAGACCTACAATTTCCACAGCTTGCTTGCAACCGAGATGTAGGAACCGCGGGAAGGTGAGAAGATAGAATTCACCTTCGAAAAAGGTCCTTTGCTTCTGGCGTTTCCGACTGATAGCAACTCAATGACTGGATCGGTCAGCACTTGCTTGAATTCGTCAGCTTCCCTGGCGAAACTCGAAGAGTTCAGACAACAAAGAAATCAACTGTAGAGCGAATGTAGTGAATGTAGTCAGCAGCAAACTACCTATACTCCGGAAACAGTCCCAGTTGTCGAAACAACCCACGTTTACCCCAAAACAAACAAGCATACAGCAGCTAACCTATCTCAGTACACAAAACCACAAACCCCAACCTGGGTACAAGCACTGGTGACAGTAGAGGCTGGTCCTAAAGGCAAACCTCTCGGTGCCGTTCCCAGAGTTAAGGTTTGCGTGTGAGCAAGTGGTGCCTAGGTACGCCAGTGATCTGAGGTTGGCCAGTTGCAGGGGTAGACGTATGTGTCAAGAGTTGTAGGAAACGAAGATTGAGGCAAGTAAAGCTGATATATACATAATGGAAAACTAATCAACTATGCGAACTTTACGAAAGTAATTGGGTTAATGAAGTGGCGCCAGTATAAATGCCGCTTTAAAAACCATACTACTCGATAACAGAAAGTAGTCAAAATAGAATATGTGATTGCACGAACCACGGTGAAGACGCGTAAAGCACTACGGACGTCAACGAAAGCATCCACTCCCGGTCTTGCACACAAGCGTAGTAGAATTCGTCGTAGTTAGCATTCGATTAGAGACGTAAAGGGTTTTTTCGACCACTGCAGTTGATCACCCATAACCACCGAAGGATAACCGCATTTGATAGGCACAGGCGTCGAAAGACACCGTAGGCCGCCGAGCATCGCATGCTGACACGGACGGCCACCGGGCTGCAGTCGGGAGCTGGACGGTGAGTTGGCCACAAAACCAAGCACGTCACAGGGAGACTCAACTAAACAGATCGGTACCGGTTTTCAGATTAGAGGACTCGGAAACTATCTTAGACCAAGATTCTTGGTAACATTGCTTCATGCTCCTCTAAATCTACCAAGAACTCAGCCATTACATAGTAAAATGAACATACCAAGAGTAATACTCTTTCAGTAACGTTCTATTTTCATTTCGAGCACATAGAACACAATGTTAATTCGAGCTTAAAGTAGCGTGTGGCATGAGGTTCGCCAAGTGGCATACGAGAAAAGTACAAGACTGACCCCAGGGATCAGGAATGCACACACAACCTGTTCCAATGAAGCTTAGCACAAGCGATAAGCTAACTAGTAACTCTCGGAAAAGCCCACCGTTAAAGTTGAACAACGGCTAGCTGTGGCGGGCAGTCTGGAAAGCAATGTTGTTCGCTATGTGGCCGAAGACCCAAAGTCCGTCAATGAGTCCATTATTTCTATTGGGGGCAATGTTGTGGAAAAATGAAATGTGAGATGATAGGAATGGAAAACGTCGCATACTTTCCGATATTTATACTAAGTCCCTAGCCTGGCAAGCAGCGGGATGGATGAGATCGCAGGCTGAAAGGAAGATCGAAGTACCAGTTCCGGATGACCATTGTCAACAGATATTGTTGATAGCGAGTGTTTGCCATTGAAGGAGGGGTCATCGATCAGGTTGCGTGAACCCCGGGAATATATTTAACCGCAACCAGGTTTATACACTGCTGTTTGCCACTTCTTAACGGGTCTACGAATGGTGCAAATGTGGACATGATTCTTGGGCCAACGTCCATAGATCACCGCTTGTCTACCACATGATCGTGCGGCCGTGCGACTTCACCGGTTCAGTACAACGCAAACGAATAATCCACGAAAAAGCAACCGGCGCACCAAACGTAAAGACGCTTGATAAGTGGGCAACACACGTAGTGGTACTACTTTTTCAGTTTGCACGAACGTTGGAACGAATTGGCCACGGCAACTGCACATTAAATTCACTACCGCGGCAAAGCGAACGCCATTAATGGCTGAGAGGAGAAACTTGATAGACTGCTACAAGAAACACGTGACTAATGTGCGTTGGGAAATTCAGTAGGAGCAATACTGAAAGGTTCGTTATGTTAACAATCTTACTCTGATAATGACGCAGAGCGCAAGATACACAATGTGTGTGATAAACAGCCCTATGGCCATCCCAAATATATTGGACCTTAACGTGCTACGATGGTTCGCGTACCTCCATGACCCAATCGGCTACGCTGGGTGGCACTTCTCAAGTGCATTCAGAGTCACTCATACGATACAAGTCAATGGTTAGGGTCAGATTAACAGTCTCACAATCCAGTCTCCGTGGAAGGTTAGGGAGAGATCGATGGTCCTCTTCCTTTAAGACAGCCATGGGAGACAACGGCTACTAAATTACAACCTTACAGTTCGAGTGACGTAGAACAGAAGTGCAATGCTTTGTCTGACAGTGGGAGAACACCGCCCGGTGCTCAATGGCCGGCTATCCCTTCAAGTCAGGCAGCCCCTGGTCCAATTGGGGTAAACCAGCTAACCCTCACTTGCGGCTGGCCGTTACCGCAGGTGCGTAAGATACTACCAAACACATGTGAATTGTTCTAAACCTTCAAGGGCTGTGAGTGGTAGCCCTGAAGCAGCTCCGATGGGACCCTCCAGTCTACTAGCGTGCTGAACTTGTACACCAAAATATTGCTGACCAGCCAAAGCACTCGCGGGGAGTGCCTCCATGTACCCCACTGTCTTGGGGTCAAGCTGTTGAGTAAGAGGCTAGAGATAGCACACTGCGAACAAAACCTCTCCCTCGGAATGGGCAGCTGGATAATGCCATCTAGCTTCGCGACCCCGTTGCCGATAAGACTTTTCTCCTTCTACTTGTCTTTCTTTTCCACTGCAACTTTCTTATTCCCTGATTGTTGAGTAGGAGGCTGCAGTTGCCTTCGAAACTGGCGCGGCTGGCACATGCAATTAGTCCTTCAAATTAAGGGTATGATTTCACATTGGTTCATTTAACGTTCGCACTACTATTGAGCAGACGGTTCAAAAAACAGTACCAACTTTCACGCTTCCCTCTCTAGATATTGATGTTTGCTGTCTCCGTAACATGCATAGCTGACAACACCGTCGTGGCGAATCTTCGACGTACTGACAATGACTGCACTCTTCACCACACTGGCACTACTGAGACAATGACTCAAGGTATTCATGGCGTTTGTATCGCTCTCAGCAAACATTCTGAAGACAATCTATTCGATTGGATCCCAGTGCACATTCGTATATGTGCGATTCGACTTCGAACCTCTATTGGGGTCAATAACCACCGTCAAAGACAAGGTGCTTTTCATGGCTTCTGTACATGCCGCACTGATAGCAGTTCGAAGGGTAGACAAGACGATTTCTCATCATCTCATCTCAGTATAGTGAAGAATACAGATATTGTAATTGAGGCCGTTGACATGAATGCCCAACTGACTCGCCTCTCGAATGCTGAACAACACAAGGGAGGCCGCTTCGAGGTCGATGCACGCAGAACAGATGATGATGATCGATTCCCGTAACTATGTGCTAATCACAATCCTTATAAGGATAGCACAGCTTCCCAGAATGAACTTTCACATCGCGTCAACTGGCGACCGCTGAATTGCTCGACGACCTGGACCCACACTGATCATATTGCTATCAGTTATAGATGATACAACATCGGTTCAAGAGTGTCGGTCAATTTTTGAGTGCGCGCGTGGACTTCGATCATGCTCTAGTGTGCATACCTAGCGTCCATCCTACTCGCCTCAAAAGAGTGCCTAGCTTCCAAGCCTCTCACACTTCTAACCTGAATTTGCAGTCCGCAGTCCAACAATATCATGATGAAATGGCCCACCAGTTATCAGTGATTAATAGGATTGGTAAGCCGAACGCTGACGGGAATTGTCTCAAATGTGTCATCATGGAGGATTTAGACGCTTGATGTACGAACAAGTTAAGACATCCTAACTGAATGGATCTCTGAGGCATTGAACAGTCTGATAGAAGCGCAGAAATAGGTTCCAATGGATACTGAGCTTCA